GCAACTAGAAGGATGTGCAGCTATGACATACAACTATCTACTGGGGCTTTGGGGGGAAAAATAAATAAATAAAATTATTAAAAAAAAAAAAAAATAAGGCCTGTACTAAACAGAAAATGTATTTCACCCGAATCTAATGCAAAGACAGAACCCAGTATCCGTGAACCCATTCAATTTAATCATAGCTGGCAAACTGTTCATCTAGGAAGCTCAGAGGACACTAAACATGATAAACTACAAAAGTGCACACCCAAGGATATCCTGTTCAAACCACAGAAAAATCAGAGACAGAGAATATATTGGGAAATGCCAGAGAAGAAACACACCTTAGGTATAAAGAAACAAAGATTTGAACTAAATTGGACTTCTTTTCAAAAACCATGCAAGAAAGAACAGAGTAGAGTGATATAAAGTTTTGAAAATAAAAAAACACTACCCTAGAATGCTCTGTCAAGGAAAATTATCTTTGAGGGGCCGGCCCCGTGGCTTGGAGGTTGAGTGTGCGCGCTCCGCTGCTGGCGGCCCAAGGTTCAGATCCCGGGCGTGCACCAATGCACCGCTTCTCTGGCCATGCTGGGGCCGCGTCCCACATACAGCAACTGGAAGGATGTGCAGCTATGACATACAACTATCTACTGGGGCTTTGCGGGGTGAAAAATAAATAAATAAAATCTTTAAAAAAAAAAAAAAGGAAAATTATCTTTGAAAAATAAAGGAGAAATAAGGACTTTCTGAGACAAAAGTTGAGAAAATATGTCATGAGTACACCTACTTTGAATGAAATGTTCAAAAATTTATCAGAAAGAATGTAAATGATAAAGGTAGAGGATTAGAAAAAGAAAAAATGAAAGTAAAATATCATTTATATTTCCTATAATTAATATAACAGGCAATGCTTTGTTTAAAATGATATCAGCAACAATGTATTTGGTAATGCGAAGCTTACAGACAAGTGAAATAAATGACAGCAGTGTGATGAGGGACAGGGAAGGGGAAATTGGGGATAGTGTGTTAAGAGCTACTTACACAACATGAATTGATATAGTGTTATTTGGCAAAAGTGGTGGGTTAGTTTTAAATGTACACTAAAAACTCAAGGGCAACCACTACAAACTGTTCTTGAAAAATGTGTAGCTGATACGCTTACAGAGGAGAAAAACAAGAATCAGAGTAAATGCTCTATTTCAGCCAGAGAAGGCAGAAAAAAGGTGGAAGACCAAAAGAAACAAACATCAAGGGAAAAAATGGAAAATTGTAAAGCTTTTGGTAAATATTAATCCAACTGTATTAATAACCACTTTAATCATCAATAGTCTGGATACAATTGAAAGACATAGTAATATCGGATATCAGAAATCACAATTATGTATTGTCTACAAGAAACCCACTTTAAGTATAAAGACACAGATAGATGAAGGGTAAAGGGATGGAGAAATACAGACCACGCCAACACTAATCAGAAGAAAGTTGTCATACCTATACGAATTATAGAAAATGCAGATTCTAAATCAATGAAAATTCAGAGATAGAGAGGGGCATTAGATATTGACAAAGGGGTCTATTCTCCAAGAAAGCACAGCAATCCTTCATGCGTATGTGCATAACAACAGAGGGGCAACATATATCAGGCTAGAACTGATAGAATGCAAAGAGAAACAGATGAATCCAGTACTACAGCTGTAGAATTCAACACCCCCTTATGGCGAATTATAAATTCCAGGAGGCAGGAAATGAGGGAGGAGAGAGGTGAACTGAACAGCACCGTGAAACAACTGGATTTCATTGTAGTCTATGGAATACTTCATACAACAGCAGAATATACACTCTTCTCAAGTTCACAGGGAACATTCACCAGGACAACCCATGTTCTGGGACATAAAGCACACCTTAACAAATGTGAAAGAACAGAACTCATACAAAATATGCTCTGATACCACATAGGCATTCATCTAGAAGTCAATAACAGAGAGTTGGAAAACCCCAAAATATGTGGAGATTCAACAAGATACTTCAAAGTAATACAAAGGATCAAAGAAGAAGTCTCAAAAGTTAGAAAACTTATTTTGAACTGAAGTTTTAGATAAGAAAGCAAAAAGAAAGGCCCATAAAGAAAAAACCAAAATATTTATTTCATTAAAATAAAAAACTCCTGCTCTGAGAAAGACAGTGCTAAGAAAATAAAAATACAATTCCCAGAGTCAGAGAAAATCTTTGTAAAACTGTTATTGGGTAAACGATTGGTATCCGAAATACCCAAAGAACTCTTAAAACTCACCAGTCAGAAGACAAAGAACACAATTAAAAAATGGGCAAAAGATCTAAACAGACAGCTCACTGAAGAAGATATATAGATGGGAAATAAGCAATATGAAAACTTGCTCCACATCAAATGTCATTGGGAAATTGCAAATAAAACAACAGTGATGTATCATTAAACACTTATTAAATGATTAAAACTCAAAACACTCAGAAGATCAGATATAGGTGAAGATGTGAAGCTACAGGTAAATCTTCATTCACTGCTGATGGACATGGAATTTGGTACACCTACAGCGGAAGACAGGAACTTTCCTTCAAAACAAAATACACTGTTACTACGTAGAGTAAGATCCAACAATCACACTCCTTGGTATTTTTCCAAATGAACTGTAACCTTAAGTTCACACAAAACCTACACATGAATGTTTATAGGTGGTTTATTCATAATTGGCAAGAGTTAAGAGTTTTAAACGAGATGTCTTTCAAGACTGGAATAGACAAAAACAATCAATGGTGTATCCATACAATGAAACACTGTTCAGTGATAAAAAGAAATGAGGTATCAAGCCATGTAAACACATAGAGGAACCTTAAAATTATACGGCTAAGGGAAAGAAGCCAATGTGACAAAGCTATGTAGTACATGGCATTCTGCAAAAGACAAAAGCATGAGTCAGTAGAAAGATCATTGATTGTGAAGGACTGATGGCTGGAGGGAGGGATGAAGCAATAGATGGAGCACAGAGTATTTTTAGGGAAGTGAAACTGTACTATGTGAAACAGAAATGATGGATCCACGTCATTATACTTTTGCCAAAACCCACACATTGTATAACACAGAGTCAATAATAATGTACACTGAGCATGTGATGCATCAATATGGGTTTGGAAATCATAAGAAATGTATCACAGTAGTAAAACATGTGAAAGAGAGTTCAAACTGTGTGCAGAAGAGAAGGATTTTGTGAGAACTCTCTGTAAATTCTGATCAATTTTTCTGTAAACCAAAAACTGCTCTAAAAAAACCTGAAGACTTTCAAAAAAAAGAGATGAAGACAAACTCATTACACTTCACCCCATATGACTGAAATAGGACATCTCTCATCCAACTGATTTCAAT